GTCACGTGAGTGCGGCACGTCACCTCGCCCGTGCGCTCCTCGTCCATCGCAACACTGTGACCCCCTCCGCGCAGGCAACATCATGACGGTGTCGCTGATGATGGGTCTCACGGCGGGCTCGCTCATCGCCTACTCCTTCTCGGGCCAGGTGCGCGCCCCCGACGTGCCCTGCGGGGCCCTCAACTCCACCCTCGTCAGCTCCACCCTCGGCGGCTCCAGCCGGGGCATCGCCACGAGCACGGCGCCCTCGGTCTTAGTGGAGCGCACGCTCCTGTGATGACGACGACGATGACGTCACAAAGAGTTCCTCACACCGCGTGGACCCGGCCCGCGCGCGCGTTTCCCCACTCGGCACGCGAGAGGGCCGTTTTCGGAGCTGCGCGGTCCGCTGCAGTGGTGGCGGTAGTACAGCTCGACAACTGCGGCATCGCCAGAACTCGGTGCCAATAAAATTCCTGTCGCAAACCGCGTGTGGACGTACAAATTATGTCCGACTGTCCGTCTCAAACCGGGTGTCAAGTCCGGGTCAATCCGAGGTCACGCCGGGGTCAGGTGGCGACCCCAGGGCGGCACCCCCGCTTCTCCGAGCCGCTTTGAGCGGGAAATGTCTCGGCAAAGCGATGATCCTTAAACGGCTGCTGATGGGACGTGCCGCGTGGGGTGACTCCTGGAATCGATTTTGCGCGCACGATTCGCACGCAAAACGCGATTCGCAGAACGAGACAAGTGGAATCGGTTCTTGCGAATTGAACCGTGGCGCGAATCGTGGCTCTTCCATGGAATCACTCTGCCTGTCAAAACAAAGCCCCAGGAGTGCGGGCCCTGAGGACGTCGTTGAGCCAATCAGAATAGTTTTAGCGTGGTCATTGGCGTTGCCCAGCCTTATATTGGAGAGACAGGGGGCAGCGTGGGTTCGGTAGAGGGGATAGGCTTGGGGTCGGAGATAAGGTTCGGTTTGGTTTGGGATATTGTCGGCGTTACGGTCTGGATGAGGCTTAGGGTTGGGGTTCGGATCAGGTAGAGGATTGGGATTAAGGATCGGGTTAGGAGTAATCGTGTTCGGGTTGGGGTTAGGATTCTATGTAGTGATCGGAAAAGGATTCGGTATAGTGTTAGGATTGGGGTTAGAGATAGCATTAGGACTGATCGTGCAAGGGATAGGGTTGGGTTAGGATTCAGTACTGTATAGCGTTTGGGTTAGATATATGATTTAGGATAGTGTTAAGATTGGGTTAGGGATAGTGTTCGGGTTAGAGATAGAGCTATGATTGTCTGCAGAACTATGTTTTCAGTCGCATTATTTCAGACTGTTTGCGCCTTCGGCTGATGGCTATGTGTTCCATGATGCCTTGCGGGCTGAATGTTCTTCTCTGGACGTGGCCGCCTGCCCGTGTTCAGGTGCGCGCGCATGTGCTTGTGTGTGGACATGTGTGCACGTGGACATGTGTGTACTAGCGACGATTATCAGAACCGGTTTCTGGGCCTCCCCTAAGTCAACTCAGCCTCAAATGAGCACCTGGTGCGGATTAAGGTGTATAAACATCGCCACTCGGGAGACAAAGGTGACCGGGCGTTGTGCTGGCCACCGACCCCCTCGTGTGCCGTGCCGGCCTTCAGAGGTGCTTGCCCTAACAGTCTGTTAAAGGCTATACGGGAGGGTTCTTTGTGCTTGTGGATGTGTGTAGATGCCTCCGTGTATTTGCGTGCGTTTGTCGCCTTAAATAAATGGCCAGTTCTCACGCCGCACCCCCCATCACCGCTCCACAGTCGTAAAGGCTACGCGGGGAGGTCTAGAGCGTGCGCGTGTTTGCGTGTGTGGCCGTGTGTAATTGTTAATGCCTCCCAAAGGAGATGTTTTTTTTGTGGCCGTGCAGGGTCAATGAAATGAAATGGCAGTAAGTCCTCGTTCGACGCGGTCGTAGATGCGTTCCTGAAAAGTGCCTCGTGAGAGAAGCAAAAAACGCGTTAAGCGAAAACTATTTCCCCAATAGTGTAACGATAAAAGTTTGGCGAGATATGACGAACGCAGACACAGTGAGATGGCGGGACAAACAACCGAGTTGCTCTATCGTTCCGCGCATTGTATCACACCGCACAGCCGCGCAGCTCAAGAAAGTAGTTCGTCGTCGACCGCTCAGAAAGCGCGCTATAGCGGTGCGCTTATTTACAGCGTTATAACACCACGCGTTAAGCGAGGACTCGGCGTGCTTGTTTCTATTTGCTCCGCTGAAGGAGAGAAACGAGTTGGCGTTGCTCTTGTCTACGATGTCGATCGCCGTAATCTCCCGCCTGCTGTCAACGTGGCTTCAAATGTGGCGCGCGGGATATCTCCACGTGGGGCGATGGGCGAGAGAAACCGCCTGCTGCCACTGCTGCTGCTGGAATTGAACCCAGGGTCTCTGTTTCTCTTCGCCCGAAGTGCATGACTGTCGTGCCAATGGGCGACTCCCGTCTCTTGGGAAATAAAGACGGCCGGCGATGATGATGATGATGGTGTTGTGAGCCGGTAACTTCCCACTGATGGGCAACAGCCTCCCACATTTCCTTCCGTTTTCTCCTTTTATGCATCTGTAGGGTCTCCTATGTGAGTCCATGTATGGGTATCTGTGAGTTTATTGGTCTATGCGAGTCTATGTGAGTCTATGGGTCTCTGTATGAGTTTATGGGTGTCTATGTGAGTCTATGGGTTTCCATGTGGGTTTCTGTGACTCTATGTGAGTCTACGTGTCTCTGTGTGAGTCTATGTGTCACTATGTGAGTTATGGGTCTCTATGCAAGTCCATGGGTCTCTAAGTGAGCCGGTAATTAGTGTTATTTTTGTTGTGAGCCTGTAACCTCCCGTTCTCTTCCTCTTTTTAACTGCGCCTGTCCAGGAGTGCCCTCCGCACTCTGTGATCAGAATACTTTTTTTATCCTGGAGGAATCCGATGAGCTGTGAAGCTCTATGATGTCACCTCGGTCATAGCGTGTCCACCGTCTCTCATCAGCCACTCTCATTACGCGCCCTCTCCCATTTCCGCTCGAATCTATTGGCTTTAACAAACAGCATTAGTGTTGACTCCTCTTCCTTATATAGATGGGTTTTTTTTCAGAAGGCAATGCGTCCGATGGAATGCGTAAATATTTGTTTTTAATGTGGAGACAAATACGGGAGGGAGCCCTATTGTGATGATTAATTTTGCAAGTCGAGTTAAAATGGGATGTTCACCTCCGATTAGCACGATTGGCTGCGTACGGTGCGAAAAAAGTTCAACATATTGTACATACTCGTATGCCTCACAAGCAAGCCCTCACAGATCTCCCGTTTGGTGGCGGGTGGCGCCCTCTAGCGGTGGCACGGCACCATCGCAACTTCCAAATTCAACCGGAGGCAGATGAGTTACCGCATTGCATTCCCAAAGGAGGCCCTGACATACCTTCATCATCGTCGTTGACAATCCACTGCCGGCCTCTCCACTGCTGGATGAAGGCCAAGGTGACGTCGCCGCCACCTTTCTCGCGGCTGGGTCGCCACGGTGGTGAGATGTTAACTACCTCGCGTGGTATACAGGAGGCTGTGGGTTCAATCTCGACCACGCCTGCTATATTTGCGTCTGCATCTCTCCCTGTAGTCGCGTGGATGTTTTCCCGGGTCCTCTGGGTTTCCCCTCCACATTTAGAATCAACATCACGCGTTTAGAGCATTGGTCTACTATACATTTCTACATGACGATAAGCCACTTTGTTGAGCTTTCATTTGTCGCCAGGACGCTTCTGAATAGGAGCGAAATAGCTAAGTGGGCCTCACCCGGTGAAATACAAAAATAGTTTAGTCGACTTGACCGTGTACCCATTTATACTGCTGGGTGAACAGAGGCGGTGTGTTGGATAATTGAATATTTCCCCATTGTTTGAACGGACACGCTGGGAGCTTGAATCGGAACGGGCGACCTCTGGATTCCAAGTTTAGCCGTTGTTGGCTAATCGTCTCGTGGTAGGTCTGCTTATTCGTTCAAATTAGTGAGATTTTAGAAAAGGAAAAAACCCAGTTTTGGAAAAGTTACAGCAATTGACATATAGCCCGTGTGTTCCCTACAAGTTAACGCTTTCCAGAGGACATTAACACGTTTCAACTTAAACGCATTAAAATAAAACGTGAAGCCGTGGCAGCGTGTCAAGAACTCGGCAATCAATTCCCAGGCACGGTTCGAGTCGGAGCAAAAGTCCAGTAACTCAATCACCCAGCCCGCACAGACGTGAAGTTTGATGGTCAAACAAGCCCCACAACCGCCATAGCAGACGCCTTCATCCACTAGTTGACTGACAAAAGGACTGTAAACAAATATAAATTATCCTAACTTCACATCCTTTCTGGAGTCGCTCTGGCCAGCTGAGATTCATTCGGCAGTCCCTTGATGGCAGGCACAAGACAATATTAAGCATTACCTCGAAAAGTTTGTATTTCTCTATTCGGGCAGTGTTAAATGGGGGAGATGTCGTGGATTTATTTAGCTCAATTCTAATCATGCCATGGTGAATTTGGCGGCCTCATTCCAGGTGACGGACCCTGGGGGACATTGCTGCAATACAGGTGTCGGTGGTTTATGAATCCATTGGGTAGAACTCAGGATTCCCAACCACCGCATCATTAACAAATGCCATGGCTTTGCCGTTTTTGGTCCAACGCCTTCAAAGCCCGCCAACAGACCACAATGCATGGTCAAAAACCCCCAATGGTCCAACATACGGTGGGACCGAACTTGATAATCCCAGGGTGGATTGGAGAGTTGTAAATTGTTTACCATTGCCAATGAACTCTGCTGTACCATTTAAAATCAATGCAGGTGTTGCAGATGGCTTGCATTTAAACCCTGGTAATTCGACAGAGCTGGCTTGGGGAGATTTTTGGACAAATGATCAGCCACCAGCCAGTGGGCCCCAAAACCTTTACCCTCCACAAAATAGAATCCCGCCACCAACATCACGCGTTTTTTGTTGTGATTAGACAGACGGCAAAGGAATGACAGAGCAATGTAGACATGGTCCTTTATTAATTGGTACAACCAACAAAGTCAACATGTGAAATGTGCTGCTCACAACAGGCGATACGATTTTAAACGTCACTGTTCACCTTCAACTTCACCAGAAATGGGAGTTAAGTAGTTTTAAGGCAAGTAAAAAAAATAACGACAAATTCTGGTCTGCGTACAAAAACAAGCAGAGAAATTAAATGTACAGGAAATTTGAACCAGTTTTCGGACTGTTGCAACTCACGCAGCAAGTTGTATCTCAGGACAAGACTCGAGGTCTACGTGGAATGATCTAGGAATGCACAAAGCTCACCTATTAAGGGCAATAATCAAGTGCATCAGTGCGTTTTGTATCAATTCAATTAAAACTTGACCTTGCATGTTTAGTAGTACTATGGAGCGGTTAGCCTTAGAAAAACAATGGGGAGGGCAGGCATTGACACGGCCACACGGGGGCCACCACAATGCATGGTTAAACGATGGAACGAATTTTGTTTAATCAATTACAGGCCCAAGAACAGAAACAAGTGCCTTCCTGCAACTCTGCCCCTAAGTCGCCTAACTCCTATCCACCCTCCCCCCACCAACAGTGTGAAGTAGGGGTGGAGTTGATTAAACAGAGGTGGATCCCCTTTGTTAAGACATCGCGACTCTTAAGAGTGGAGACAGAGGGGGGGGATGAGACACAGGAGGGTTTTGGTGGCGTTTTGTTGCCGTTTCTGCGGTTGCTTTAGAAGCACTTGCGGTGCACGATGGAGGGCCCAGACTCGTCATACTCCTGCTTGCTGATCCACATCTGCTGGAAGGTGGACAGTGACGCCAGGATGGAGCCTCCGATCCAGACGGAGTACTTGCGCTCTGGTGGGGCGATGATCTGAGGGGGGTATAAGGAAGGAGAAAAAAACCAGGTCAGTAAAGCCATGCAGCAACGACAGATCACTAATACTTTACCAGTCAACCACTGTTTGGGGTGATAACATTGACTGAAAGCTACATTTCAAAAGCTTATATTTGGTAATAGGAGGGCAAAACGCTTGATACAAGCAACAAGCAGCACCTTCAAACGTTTAAATCTGTACAGATAATTTTGAATGTTGGTGGTGGCAAGCACCTTGATCTTCATGGTGCTGGGCGCCAGGGCTGTGATCTCCTTCTGCATGCGGTCGGCGATGCCGGGGTACATGGTGGTGCCACCAGACAGCACGGTGTTGGCGTACAGGTCCTTGCGGATGTCGACGTCGCACTTCATGATCGAGTTGAAGGTGGTCTCGTGAATGCCACACGACTCCATTCCTGTTGGCACACGTGGCGTAAAAAGAGGGGCACAGTTAGTATATCGTCACCTGGTAGGGAGGGAGGGATTTACTGTGAAAAGCGCAGTGCAACGTGGCGTTAAAATAACATCTGTGGGCGTTCATTAAAGACCACCAAGTCACAACTCGGGGTCTTCGTGCAACTCAACGATTTCTTATTTCACTGTCGTTGACAGTTGTCAGATGCATCCTATCAACCAAACTGAAAAAAAAAAACGCGCGCACAAATGGCCAATTGGTTTGGACGCACAATCCCGACGCATTCTTCAAATCGCTACAGGCAGCATCCCCCTCACCGAGGAAGGACGGCTGGAAGAGGGCCTCAGGGCAGCGGAAGCGCTCGTTGCCAATGGTGATGACCTGGCCGTCGGGCAGCTCGTAGCTCTTCTCGAGCGACGAGGATGATGCGGCAGTGGCCATCTCCTGCTCGAAGTCGAGCGCCACGTAGCAGAGCTTCTCCTTGATGTCACGCACGATCTCACGCTCGGCCGTCGTGGTGAATGAGTAGCCACGCTCCGTCAGGATCTTCATCAGGTAGTCGGTGAGGTCGCGGCCAGCCAGGTCGAGACGCAGGATGGCGTGGGGCAGCGCGTAGCCCTCGTAGATGGGCACGGTGTGCGACACGCCGTCGCCAGAGTCCATCACGATGCCGGTGGTGCGGCCGGACGCATACAGCGACAGCACGGCCTGGATGGCGACGTACATTGCCGGCGTGTTGAAGGTCTCGAACATGATCTGTGGATGGCACGGAAAGGAAGAGTTAAGCATCGAATAAAACAAGGTCACGTCGGTTGTCTCAATACAAACCATGCAGTTGTCACTCACTCGAAACACAAATCGTAAAATAAGATGCGAAAAGTTCAGCCAAAAAGATGCAAAAGGAGCATGCGGTTATAGGGATGCAATCAGAAATTTTTAAAACATTATTTCAAGACAGTAAAACATAAACCTGATAGAAGGAAAAGAGCCATCAGCCATGATCTGCAAAGGTCTGACAACAGAAGAAATAAGGAAAGGCACTTTTTCACTTCACGTTCCCCCTTCAATAGAAATGTCAGAAATTCACAAAACTGAAATGCCAGTGGTGAAAACAAGCGACTCTCAAAAACCCCAGCGATTCACCTCATCCACTCGCGCAAGGACGACATTCCAAATCACCCCCCCACCACCAACCACCACATTTTATTTGCACACCAGCGTGCGCACAGCAACTTTATCCCCCACCATCACCACCACTCCACACTGCCTCCTCCCTCACCTGTGTCATCTTTTCACGGTTGGCCTTGGGGTTGAGGGGAGCCTCTGTGAGCAGGACTGGGTGCTCCTCGGGCGCCACGCGCAGCTCGTTGTAGAAGGTGTGGTGCCAGATCTTCTCCATGTCGTCCCAGTTGGTGACGATGCCGTGCTCGATGGGGTACTTAAGGGTGAGGATACCACGCTTGCTCTGCGCCTCGTCTCCCACGTAGGAGTCCTTCTGACCCATGCCAACCATCACACCCTACGCGGCAAAAAAAACACCAGCCACACACGTTAGAGCAGAGCACGGATGCACATCCACACTCCGTGCCTGAGAAGCGGCACGCAGAATTTCAGTGGTTCCAGGTATGCAAGACCTGTGGAATTTTGTTTTTAACAAGTCACCACCACTTGCACAGCCCCACTTGCAAAAGTCAGCAGGTCACAAGTGTTGGGAGGCATGTGTGGCTGCCGAAGGCGCTGTGGACTCATGCCACCTACAAATTGACATTGTAGATGAAAAGTGCATTAAATACTTCTTTAAAATTTGGCCACTGTACTTCCAATGAAAACTATTTTCTGCAGGGGATTTCAATGCACCCATTTGAACAGCCAATCGAAAATCAACAGTTTCCAGTGCAATGCATGCATCGCAACTCGAGCAAAACACCAAATGAAAACCTGCACATTGTGCCGCAGTGTAAATTAGTCTTCCACTGCCTTACAGCTGTATTATGCACCCAATTAGTTGTTTTGTTTGTATTGTTGTAACTTGCTGACCCGCCCCCTACTGGATCTGTGATTAAAGAGCTTTATAGCTCATTTGATTCCTCCAATCCACATCAAGATTCCAATTCCGTGTCCATCACGTTTCCTCAAGGTGATCATAACAACATGTAGCTGTTGTGTGGACTGTGGACGGATGGGAGTTGCATGGGACTTGGCGGGCCTGGGAGGGGGTTGCCCAGGTGAGGGGGGGTGCCCAGGTATGTGGGGGGGTGCCCAGGTATGTGGGGGGTTGCCCAGGTGAGGGGGGGTGCCCAGGTGAGGGGGGGGTGCCCAGGTGAGGGGGGGTGCCCAGGTATGTGGGGGTGCCCCAAGGTGTGTGGGGGGGTGCCCAGGTATGTGGGGGGGGTGCCCAGGTATGTGGGGGGGTACCCCAAGGTGTGTGTGGGGGGGTGCCCAGGTATGTGTGTGGGGGTGTGCCCCAAGGTGTGTGTAGGGGGGTGCCCAGGTATGTGGGGAGGTGCCCAGGTATGTGGGGAGGTGCCCAGGTGTGTGTGGGGGGGGTGCCCAAGGTGTGTGTGTGGGGGTGCCCTGGTGAAGGGGATTCCCGGTTCCCAGAGGGGGGACCCGGGTGGGGTTACCTGGTGGCGGGGCCGCCCCACGATGGAGGGGAAGACGGCGCGGGGCGCGTCGTCCCCGGCGAACCCGGCCTTGCACATGCCAGAGCCGTTGTCCACCACGAGCGCTGCAATTTCATCTTCTGCCATTTTTACTTTGTTGGGTTTTTTTGTTTCTGCAAAGATGGGGGGGTAGGTAGGGAAAGACAAAGTTTAGTCGGAGTCGTTACCATAAAGACACTAAACTCGTGTCGTGATCCCGAATGCATTTTCAACAATAATCATCAAGTATTGGCATTTTAAAAAGTCTGTCTGGATGAGCCGAATAACCATACATCACCCTGGTGATGTAATATCTGCCGAATAACCATACATTTGTATCGCGCTATACTTAGACAACGGTAGTTGTTGTATCCATGTTCACTTTAAAGAGGGAATTAATATTAAATCAGGTGCTCGGGACTCCTTATGGCAATTCGCCAAAACACTCACGATGCAGTCGATTGAGAACAGAAAGCGATACGAGTCACGAGGAAAAACCCCAATTTTCTAATGTAATCCGCCGGCTAAACTATATTAAACACTTCAAACCATTTATTAACACCGTTCGATCTTTTTGTTCTCAAACTATTTTTTGTTTGTTTATCAAGTAACATTAAAACGCAAAGGAAATCAGTCGGGGCTAAATTTTTCATCACCGACAGCGAACGAGTTCCCACCCCCCCCAGAAATACTTACAAAAAAAGTCTTAGTTAAATTAAACCCATATGGTTTAATTCACGCATTAAGAAAAAGTTAAGTTACGCGCAAAACCAAAGTGGCGGCATTCTCCCGCCAATGGGAGGCGGCCACCGCCCTTACCCCTCCCCCCTTCACGAGGGGCGGAAACGTCGACGGCTCACGGGGGCGGTCAAAGGGCGCGCCCAACGGTCGCCAATGCCCGTAGATGGTCACACGGCGGCGAGCGCCGAGCCCGCGCCACTGCCATATATGGGCATGCTCGGCGACGCGCGCATCTCATTGGTCACCGGCCAGGGGCGCGAGCCCCCCCCCTTACACCAACTATAGCCACGCCCACAACCCCGCGCCCCCACCCCTGACCGCGCCCACTTCTCAAATCCGCTTAGTTGGTGAATTAAGTGACGCTGGGAACGGCGCAGTGTTGGCAACTATGAAAATTAAAATTGCCCCAAGGCTTACACGAATTGGTCCCCCCCCCCGCTCCCACTACTACCTATTTTCTCTCAGGAACAACAACACAAATTACAGGCATTGCCGATATGCATTAATAATGCGAGTTTTAAGTGGAGGCAGCAGCAGCAGTTTGGGCAGATGGGGTGTTGGCCGCTGTCAAGGGAACAAAAGACCGGCCGGCTTTAAAAAAAAACTCGGCGGGCGACCCCTCCACCACACGACCAGCAGCCCAAACGACACCACGGAAAGCAGCGAGTTAAACATCCGGACACTCCGAAAACCTTCCAACTCCACAGCTACAATTTATTTGAACGCTAGCAACAACCAAAAAAAACCCCGATCTACACACACACAAAAAAAATCAAGCTTTCACAACATCAAAAGCTGCCTCTTGTTCCACAAAATGATAACTAATCAGTTTGCGTTTAAGCGCTAGTTATTCGTTACGAACTCAGCTGGCGTGCATTTCGATAGAGGCCGGGCGTGGCCCTTACCTTTTTAAGAGGCAGAAGTGAGCGTGGGAGACGAGGCTGAGGGTAGAGCAGCAGCGCACAGACGGGGCCGCCCGCCCGTCCCACCCCGCTTATATAGCCCCGACCGACTCAAGCGCCATTCCCTTATATGGGCATATTTGGCGAGGCTCGCTCCCCATTGGCTCACGACGCCACGCGCGAGCCCCGAGACGGCTGGGTTGAGAGGGGGGCGGGGTGGTGCGGGGGGGGGGGTGATTGAGGGGAGGGGGGAGTTGGAGGCTTCCGTTTTCCCCGCTACGGTTGCAAGAAATGCATGGGGGTAGAGTTGGGGGGGTGGTGGTGGTGGTGTGGAGTTCTTAGTTCCTTTATCGCTGTGTGCCCCCTTCTTTATCGCGACACGCAAGGCTCTATTGTCCTTAAATGGTAAATTCATTCATCTCTCGGCTGCCTAGCATGAGACTCAAGTTTCAGTGGTACTGAAGTCAATTAAAAGATTACATAAAGGCAAACACTCTGCACTGTAAACTACCATCCCCAAACGCGTCCGCGAGCACGCCCTAACTCCACATCATCAACAATCAGCACCATGATTCACAAACTCAACACCGTCAACACCCCATCGCCTCTTCAACGCCAGGATATTCGTTCCCCTGCAACGCCATCATCATCATCACATCATCCCCATCACATCATCAACACCCATCATTGCCATCATCACGCCATCAACACCCATCACCACTGTTGGGAGTCCGCAACTTGGTGAAATGAAGTTCATTAAATGAACCAACTGTGTTGGAGCAGGCACACGGCACTTGGGACACGCAGGGAGCCCAGAGTGGTTGGCGTTCCCCTAACTTCTCAACAGTCGGGGTGAGGTGCTGGTGGTAGGGGGGGGCAATGGGCCATATGCCGTGCCCCCCCCCCCCCTCATTATGCGTCCTTTATTTAAATACCCCCCTCCTTAGCGACTTCACCCCAACCCCTGCTACCCCCTTCAACTTAAAACATTCTTACCCCAACCCCCAGCAAATGGCTGCGGATCACTAAAAGGGCATTGTCTATAGAAGCAGAACCTCCGTTATGTCTCTCTCCACGCAGGCACACGCACGCACACACGTGCAGATAAACACATTCTCTTTAGTTCTCATCAATCTACTCGTGGCTTCCCACGCCAATGTTGTCGAGAGGAGAGCTTGCAATGCGTTGCAGCAAAGCCACCCCTGGACCGTTTTCGATCAACTTCTGGGTGTCATCGGCGGAGTCGGACTTGCCGTGAAGAGTTCCGCAGTGATCACCGGATTGTTATTGGCACTCCGTACAAACTATGGGGTTTGCCGTCGAAACACTTAAAACAACAACAAAAATATAGCGTGCATTATAACATGCAACGACTGTTGCTCTCATCGGTTGCTTTTAGGGTTGAGTTTGCTGTTGAATGCAATTGGTTGAACACGAAACGGGAATAACGAGCTCGGCGCCCCGGTTAACTGGGCGATTAAAAGGGTAACTGTGTCAAGTTTGACAAGAATCACTCATGAATGCAGTCCTGACCCAATTATTGATACAGTGAATTATAAAAAGGGGTGTGGGGGGGGAGGGTAAAGGCGCAGCCCTGCAGCTGCTGAAACCACTGCTGGTGGAGGTGACCCCCACTAGAGGGAGCTCTTGGCGGGGTGGGGATTTTGTTGTTGGGGCCAACTCTTCAACACCGGCCACAAGACTTCAAACCTCACCACCACACGCAGCCAGCTGGTCGACTGCGAATGAACGACTCAACAACGTTTGAAGAGGTGAACAGCCTCTCGGAACGAGAGGGATTGTGCATCGAGGGGAGATGGAGCGGTTAATTCAGCTCTGATGGGTGGATCACTGCATGATGATGGACCATTAACAGCTGTGGCGGTACCGTTTGTGTCTGAAGCAAAACAAAAAAAGACACCGCCCTCATCATCATCATCATCTCTTGTGTGTGTAGGCTCTGTCAGACGAGGTTGTGTGTGTGCGACAGTGTGGAGCAGAGGTAGTGCATCTGTCAACCATCTCAGTCAGTTAACCCATAACGCCTGGGGCTCTGTCCCGTCACCTCCTTGCCAGCAGCTGCGAGCCTTCCACGCTGCACCTGCTTTCAGAGTGCACCTAGCCTGGCACAAGCCGCCGTCGTGACGTCCCCGCCACTGAGTTGCGAATGTCGGTTGTTGCTGCTGCAGAATGAACGTAATTAAATTCCGTTCGCACGCTCTTGCACATACCAGCACCTAAGCACCATCACCGGTAATAGTTATCATCACGGATCGTCGTGCTCTATCCACTGCCGGATGACAACTTCCCCACGCCGATCCGATTCTCTCACAATGCCTCGGAGTTTTGTATCGATTCTAAGGGCGTGTAACGATCTCCCGCGCCCGCCCGCCCGCCCGCGAATCCGCTTGTCTCTATTCTTAGTCCGCGATTCGATTCACTTTCTGCCCCGTTGTGGCTGCAGGGGGTTTCCGATCGATTCGCCTTCTAACGATTCGATTAATGTCTCGGCTTGATTCAAGTTTCGTTTATTTCATTAATGAGGTATAGCCCTGTGAGCCATGCGGCTCTTGAGTCGGCTGCGACCGCAACAAACAAAATACGAACAGAGAAACATCTTAAAGCGACTACGCGCAACAGAAACATCCTGGATAAACCAGCAAATCGTCCAGAAGAAAATAAAACCCCCACCGTATTACAACGCTGTGTGAAAAAATCCCAGTGTGATGCAAGTCAAACAATAACAACCGTAAGACAATTTAGACTAAAGTTATCAGGCCAACACTGAGAAAGTCAGAGGGGTTTATTTGGCCGTGCTTTCTGACACGAGTGAGTGCAGGTTAGTAAATGGGAGTTTAAAAAAATAAAATAGAACCAAAGAGTATGGATCCTTGCAGTCACCAAAAGCTTTAAATCTAGATTAAATAGGGATTTGCCCAGGACCGGTTCATATATCACTCACCACCAGTGCTAGCTCTGGTTGGGCATCGAACTCAACTTTTCCGGGTTCATATGGGTGGTGTAACCACCACCATTCCTCCCTCCAGGGCTTAAAATAGCCACATTCGAATATTTTCAGCGCTTGTAGTCCAGACTCATGGTCTAGTTTTGACAGAGGAGCCCCGGTTTGTCGAGTTTGTCCCAATTTGTTTTGCCTATTTCCCCCAACTATATCCTGATTTCGATTGAAAGCTTTCGTGACTGCAGGGATTCATATTCTTGGTTCTTTCGGTAAAGTCACGCAGAAGGGAAACAATAAAACAACAAAAATTAAACTTAATGAAATGATTGACAAGTCGCGATTCTATTTAAATAGTAATCGACTTTCTCATCTTGATGTTTTACCGTCAAATGTTTTGTTAATATCATTTCTCAATATTGCTCGGTTGTTTTCCGCCTCGTTTGTAAAGTCGTGTCAGCTCCAAAAGTCAATATGTAAGCGTTTTTTGTTCATTCTCAAACCGTGCTTTGGCATTAAAATTCGTCGTAAATACCTGTGTTAGAGTTCGCGTTACAATGTAACTTAATTAATCGATAAGCGCAGTCTCCATCCCGTAATGGAGCGGTTGGTTAGCGTGTTGCGATGTGAACACATTAATCCCGAGTTCGATTCCCGGCCACGGCTTACATCAGTGGCTTCACGAGTGATACCTCGAACTGGTCCTGTGCCCCTCATTCCCCTATAAAGCAACCCGCAACTGACCAGTGTGGTGAAGTATGGTCAAAACAGCACGCATGACCGACACGGCGTTGTTGGTAGGCGTTCATCGAGCAGCGGATTGACGTAAATGTGTCCAGAGATTTGTTGTGCGAGTCCGCTGCTGGTCAACGGCCTGCTCCCCACGCCGTAGACATCAGTTATAAAGAGCTTCATAGCTCATCGGATTCCTCCAGGATTAAATATTCAGATTCTGTACGGGTCGTGGGTGTTACATTACCACGCTTCACGCTGGTTAATATGGGTTGGTGAAGGCGGGGTGGTGGTGGTGGTGATTGTAAAGTACCGTACCAACTGGTGGCCACAAAGTGGAATGATTGTTAAGTTCCACCAAATTAACCCGAGACATCCTTGCGTGGCTGATCCAATTCTTTTTTTTTCCCCAATTCATTCTCAGCCGTGATGGTCGTTTTGAGATTACAGAGCGCGCCAGCCAGCTGCCCATGTTGGGAGCCAATTCCACGGTCATGATGATGGCGGGGCGAGGTTGGTTGTGTTGATGGTGGTGGTTTTGCGAACACTGTAGTAATGTTGGCATTGTGATGGTTGACGGTGGTAGTAGTTGTGGGCTTTGGGTGTAGTGATTACGGTGGTTGTGGTGGTGTTGGGTGGGGATTGTTGGCGTTAAGGGGCTCGGTTTTCAGTTAAATTTATTTGGTATAGCCCTGTGAGTCATTCGGCTCTTGGATCGGGTGTAACCGCAACAAACAAAAACACGAACAATAAAACATCTTAAAGGTGGCGATGGCATTGAGGGTACGATGGTAGTGTATTGAGGGAGCTATGGGCGTGCGAGTTGGTGTTTGTTGGTGGGTGATTGTGTGTGTGGCGTTATGCAATGTGCGCTCACGTCGGGTCTGACAGGGAGAGTGGGTGGGAGAGTTGGGGCAGGCATGAGGAAGTTGCGACGCATTGGCACGCAGCTGATAAGGCTTTGCGTAAAGAATTTCCCAGAAATAAAGGCGAACACACGGGTGTGATTTTTTATTCGCGTTTGACAAACTCGCTTGCGTACGACGTACAACTCTGTGTGTGTGTGCGCGGACAGTCAAACGCAGAGGCCAGTGTAGAAACATCCATTGTTGCTGTTATTGTGGCATCACGCCTAATGTTGCACACAGATAAGTACACACGTGAATGAGTTGTGCACAGGTGAATGCGTATAGGTGAATAAGTACACACAGGTGAATGAGTATCAAAGTGAATGAGAACACAGATGAATGTTGTAACAGGCGAATTGTATTTGTTAATAGGTACACGTGAATATATACGCGGCTAGCTGGTACACGTATGAGTTATACACACACTTATGCATGAATGCACACAGGAATGTTCTCCACACTTGAATGAACACACAGGTGAAAACACGCGTGACTGAGTACACAGGTGTGGGTGGAACCCGG